GATAGATAGATAGATAGATAGATAGATAGATAGATAGATAGATAGATAGATAGATAGATGATAGATAGATGCTGTAGGTAGATAGATAGATAGACAGACAGAGGGGGGGATGTTTCTGTGTTTTAATTTTTTCCCATCTTTTTTCTTTTTCAACTTACCTTGCTAGATTTTTTCTTCCTTTCTTATTATCTACTTAAACTCAATTAATACAATTATTTTTAAAAATGAAAGGCCTACAATGATGTCATGTGGGAAAGAAAAATGCTTCACATAATAATTAGCTTCCTACATTGGATTAAGCCAGTGATGGCTAACCTTTTTCTAAAGGTGTGCCAAAATTGTGTGCATCTGCACACATGTCCCAGCCACCTGCACATGCGCGTGGGGAGTTTTTACCCTCCCCAGGCTCTGGAGGCTTTCCTGAAGTCTTGGGAGGGGAAAGAACAGCCCAACCAGAAGTTCAAGAACAAATTCCCTGTTGGCCCATTGGGCCTCTTTTTTTGTCCTCCGGAGGTTCTGGAGGCTTTCTTGAATCCTGGGGAGAGTGAAAATGGCCTTCCCTGGCCCTCCACAAGGCCGAAAATCAGCTGGCCAGCGTGTGTCGTAGATTCACTATCACTGGACTAAGACATAATGGGGAAGGTTTAATTACATACAATGCATTGGGCAAATTTCAGTTATTTTGCTATGCAAACAATAAGGTTTATTTAATAAATCATTCTTGATGACTTCAGGTGAACCCAATTGATCAATATGCAGGTATATATTATATGTTTGCATCCTATTGTCAATCCATCATGTGTGTTACAAAATGCAAGGAGGCAATTCCTTAATCTAAGATCCGGCAGTATAAAATATGTCACAGCAAAGTTAAACAAATAGGAGGCTTAAGGATTAATAGGAAAACAATATAGTTCTGTGTTAATAACTGTGAGGTTGGCTCCCATTAACAGGTTTATAGTGTTGCGAGTATGCAAATCATTGCAGTAAATTCAAGTGAGTTTTCTCCTGACTTTTGTGAATTCCCCAATGGAACTATGCCCTTATAACTGTACTTACAAGGTGTTGCAAGTGGCTCAGAATAGCTCTGGGTAGTCAGATGGATGGCATGCAGATTTAACAAGCAAATAAAATAATTGTAGCATCACAAATCCTTAGAGTGGGAACTAACTTAGCGTGTAGCAGTGGTCCCAGAACCTCAAGAGTTTGTGAACTTCATGGAAGAATACAGAGCCCTCTAACAATAATGATTTTCACCCCAGATTTTTTTTTTATCCTGTAGAGGCAGCTTTCCTCTTGTAGCAACTTTATGTGATCATAGTTGGCTGTTATAAGCAGCAAACAGGTAGCGTTTCCATAGTTACTGCAAGGTATCTCAGAAGTGTCCTTAAGGGAATAGATTAAGCAGTGTACACAGTTACATTTCTGTGGGGCAGGGTATATTCTGTTTAATGAGAACCAGGGAGCCCCAACGACTATCTAGGGAAAAAGGCTCGCTCTGGGAATTTAACATTTGATTCCTCCCTATTCCCAGCAGATTCCTGATCCAGCATATTTCTCTTTTCCACACCA